CAGACACTGAACCCCGGATACCAACCACCAAACACCATCCACAAAAAATCTGGAGACTAACAATATGTCACTTCTTGTGATGGTGACATAAAAATTAGTTAACCAATCCATTACTTCATTAGTCATCAAATCCCAAATTGTTTTAGAATTCATGCTCACTTTGGACAAGACAAAATTTCATCTGTGGAAAAAGCTGATGTTTTGAAATTTTGTACTCATTGAATTTCCTGATTCAAAAAGAAGTCAAACCCTCTGCAAATACAGATGTACATCGCAACACCCTGACAATGGTAAGGTCACTGGTGATCCACTCGATTACACGGTTCGTTTCGGTAACAAAATTTCGGAACATCGAAACTACGATTTTTCTTTTTTCCTTATTTCACACCTTGTAGGCAGAATTCTCACTCCATTTTTAACACAAACGTGTATTAGAAACATATGTTTAAGAAAATGTACACATTTGCGAACAAATAGTTCAGAAGGCAACAGAATCGTCGATTTAATTCCTCACTAAGTTACAGAAACGGTATTTCGAAACACAGTTAAGATCTGCACTTTTAACTCAAACTGATTCTGTAACTTTCCTAATCCACAATTTTTCAGAGAGTTGGATCGATATTTAACTATCATGTATCATTTACTATTTGCAATATTTTATGGAAAAATAAAAAATATGTACCTCTTCTAACTTTTGTATATTTTGGTTTGTTTTGTAGAGTGTGTTTGTGAAGCCTCTATTATTTTCATGTTTTTCTACCAATTTTTCCCAAAATGAACATGGGTAAAACTCCCTAAATAACAAAAAGGCCGCAGCTTTCCAGCACATTATACAGGTGTACTTTACTATCCATCAGAAGCAATGATAACAACCTCTGCATGGGTCTAGTATAATAAATGTTTTGAATAGTGGAAATAGATTTTAGTTTTTTACACTGTGACACCCTTATTTGTTTTGTATGATGTAAGATGGCCGTTACAGTGATTTTTTAAAAAGTTGTTACTTTTCTTCAATTATTAATCAATATTGTTTAACATTGCCTCTGTTTTCAGGCAGAATGAGAATGATATATTATTGCCTTATTATTCAGACAGGGTGATATAATTTGACATTGTCACAGTTGTACCAGACAGTGTTATATTATCTTAATATATTGTCACTGTTGTACCAGACAGTGTTATATTATCTTATATTGTCACAGTTGTACCAGACAGTGTTATATTATCTTATATTGTCACTGTTGTACCAGACAGTGTTATATTATCTTATATTGTCACTGTTGTACCAGACAGTGTTATATTATCTTATATTGTCACAGTTGTACCAGACAGTGTTATATTATCTTATATTGTCACTGTTGTACCAGACAGTGTTATATTATTTGACAATGTCATGGTTGTAACATTGTTACTAAATTTTACATTGTCACAGATTTTACCAAACAGTGTTACTAAATTTTACATTGTCACGGCTGTACCAAATGGTGTAATATAATTCAACATTGTAACAGTTGTATCAGACAGTGTGATATAATTGAACATTGTCACAGTTCTACCAGAGTGTTAGATTTTGAAATTGTCATAGTTGTAACAGACAGTGTTACTGAATGTTACATTGTCACAGTTGTACCAGACAGTTTGATATATTTTTTACAGTGTCAGGGTTCTACCTGACAGTGTTACATGATTTAAAATTGTCACGGTTGTACCTGACAGTGTCACATAAATGACTTTGTCATGGTTGCACCAGTGTTAAACTGTCGGGTACAACGATGACAGTGGTAGAAAATGTAACACATGTCTGATACAACCGTGACTATGACAAATAATGTGTGGTACAACCATGAATATGTTAAATCATATGACACTGTCCTGTACAACCCTGACAATATTAAATAGTATAACATTGTCTGATAGAAACGTGACAATATTAAGTAGCGTAACATTGTCTGATAGAAACGTGACGATGTAAAATAATATCACACTGTCTTTAACAACAGTGACAATGTTTACAACCGTGACTATATCAAATTTAGTAACACTGTATGTTACAACCATGACGATGACAAATAATGTACTAACCGTGACATCATTAAATTATATTACCCTGTCTGATGTAAAATATGGCCCTGTTAATAATGTAATTCTGCCTGAAAAGAGAGGCAGTATACATTATAACATTCGCACATAGCTAGGGTAGGTGTGTCCAATTCGAGCAAACCAGAACAAAGTATTTCATATTACTGCACTGCATTATATAACCAACAACCACATCCAAGGTCACTTTTCTTTTTGTTTTAGATTTTATCCACACATAGCTAGGTAAAGTGTGTCCAATTCTTGTTGCCTACCGTAACACAGTATTTCATATAACTGCACTGCACAGTATAACCAACAACTGCATCCAAGGTCACTTTTCTTTTCTGTTTTAGATTCTAATAGACCTAATGAAATCACCATCATCAAATCATCAATATCATGATTGAGTAAAAATCTCTAAATATTATCATAGGAAATAACAAGCTATGTGCTTCTGCAGGTCAAATGGCAAGTGTTATATGGTTATTGACCCTTGCAAAAAGTGTCCTTGAAAATATATTCTATCAAGTCATTTCATATCTTTGAGTGGAATTGAATAAAATATTTAGCAATGTGTGAAGAATTTAAGCTCATTGTGGCAGATTCATTCCACAATGGGGGGGGGGGGTTGACCAGTGCCACAAGGGGCAAGGGGCCTGGGCCTCAAATTCCACATGCTATCTATTGCAAGACTTATGCCTGGCACAACCGCCACCATGTTATTAAGTGTTTTTAAGTTTTGTAAGGATCCTGTCATGCCCGTGGTATTGTTATCGTATAAGCCTGGTATATATAACCGTGACAATTGCAAGGCCTGTGATGACCATAGTAATGTTAAGGTGCTATGGAAGTTAACAGGAAATGACAAAACAGGAAGTGACAATTTTTTTTGCATCTTTAGATATTTTTTGAATAAAGATAACAGAGTTTTGGTTTGACCTCCAGTCAATTTAACTATTTCCACATATCATTTACATGACCAGGATCACAATGTGCATGGTCAGAATGACCCTAAACATGATGAAATAACCTTTTTAGCCCTTTGAAAGTGTGACTGAAAAAAAGCTAAAAGTAGGAGCGTAGGGATAGTCACTGAACAGAATCTTTTGAATTTTTCAGAAAATGTGCCCAATATAATGCTCTAACTAGTACAATCTTTGAAATTTTAGAAAATTGTCTTAAACAAAAATGGCGGTCATAAAAAGGAAAATATATCGCTTTTCAAATCAGTTTTTTCATTTTTTTTCTTTTTCTATGAATGATATCAAATTTTCAAAGATTGTATCATTTAGAGCAATATATTGGACACATTTTCTGAAAAATTCAAAAGATTCTGTTCAGTGACCTTCCCTACGCTCCTACTTTTAGCTTTTTTTCAGGCACACTTTCAAAGGGCTAAAAAGGTTATTTCATCATGTTAAGGGTCATTCTGACCATGCACATTGTGATCCTGGTCATGTAAATGATATGTCGAAATAGTTAAATTGACTGGAGGTCAAACCAGAACTCTGTTATCTTTATTCAAAAAATATCTAAAAATGCAAAAAAAATGGTCACTTTCTGTTTTGTCATTTCCTGTTAAGTTCCATAGCACCTTAAAGCCTGATATGACTGTGAATTCTCAGGATATTCAGTCTTTTGGATATAGACTACCCCCCCCCCTCCGTTGGTTCCAAGATCCGCCCCCTACGCCCCCCCCCCCCACCTAAACTATATCCTATTTAGTCTGAATTATATTCAGACTATAATTCACCTATATTAAGTTTGGTAATTCTAAATATTTGTTTACATAGGAAGTGCTATTCAAAATGGCCGATTGGGTAAAATTAATTTGCACATTTGTTTCTTCAACTAGCTTTATTTCCACTTGACAATATGCTGTGTTACTTTTTATTGCATTTAATTGAACCTTACTACTGTATTTAATAGTGAAATTTTGTAATGTTTTTTTTTATTGAAGAAATTTTTCCACTAATTGATAATTTTGTGCAAAAAATTTCACTGCAATTTCCACAGGAAAGTAGTAAATCATAACAGACTGACTTCTAGTCAGTCTGTTGGATACATACTACCCCCCCCCCCACCTACGGTTTTGCAGCAGCACTTTGTTTTTGTAGCACTACATGTAAATGAAACGCTCGAGTCTCTAGCCATAGTGGATGCCTTAGAAGTCTTAGAAAGTAAGACAGGTGTTCAGTAAATGCTGTACGTTACTCACCAGGGTAAGAAAAGTACGAGTCCTCCCCAGGGAGTCCTCTTCGCATCGGTCATTCACTGATTCAGATCATGAGTACATTACTTCTCAGATAGTACACTGTTCCTATGGTACAGTTCTGACGATATTGCAACCTAAAATCATAAGAAATCAAAAAATGATAACCGTCATAAGAACTACACTGTCTGACGTCTCTGCATATATAATTACTTCGGGGAACTAAATAAAAAGGATCCCAACTGTTGTAAAATGAAAGTGACTCATTCTGGGATTCCCGGAATGATCATGGTCGATTCTCCATTTATTCCCAATTTTGGAAGTAATGTATGGATAAAATACCTTCAATTTATACACACTCTTGTTTGTTTCTACCCTAAACATAAAATACTCGCTTCTAATCGATTTAATGCTACGAATGAGGATAGACATGATTCTTTTTGATAGACAAAAGTCACCACGACATTTAAAGTTTCGCGCATTAAGCGATCATCTTCTATTTATGTTGTTTAATTTGCATATCGATAAAATTGATATTTAGACCACCAGACGAGCATTTGAACTCCAAGAACATCAGAATAAATATCAATCAATTTTTTGTAATATGCGTTTTAGTGTAAAAGATCACATAATATATATTTGTCTAACATATCTAAAAGATTTATAGAGTATGATTGGTAGTTACTAATTTATGTAATACACAAGAGGGCGCTCTTTAAATCATATCCGGTTCCAGAAAATTTTGAGAAAATCCCAGAATCGTATCCATTACAGCTCTTTAGACCAATTAAGAGCCTATCATCTTACCGAAATATAATTTCTTCTGACAGGTGGTGTCATCGAAAGGGTAAGGATCATGGGTAAAAATGAGAACTCTACAAATTTCCGCACAAATGCAGCCAATAAAGGGCCAACCTACACAGCGGATAAAAATAACAAAAAGATGGCCTCCAAAACCAACAAGAAGTGGGTGCGACTAGCCACAGTGCTCGCTTATGTATTGTCCGTCTCATTGGCAGCTATTGTATTAGCAATATACTACAGCTTGATATGGCAACCAGAGTTGAAGAATGTAAACAGAACTACCATAGCAACACCCTCGACTGGTGAGAGTTCCTCGTTTTATGATGATACATCATCTGTTACAACTGGAACTGGGACAGATGGATTATCTACAACATCTTCAGAACCAATTTCTGTCAAATGGTAAGTTTCTATTACATCTAATTCATGTTGGCCCCATGTGGGTATACAGTGCTCACCATAAATAAATGACACCTGGATATGCTGAAGTGAGGATGTTCGTTTGTATCCGTTATTATGCCGCTTATTGCTCACGTGTCGCTAGTACAGTATACAATTGTTGACCTCTCCAGAGGTCAACCGGCAAAATTGTATACCGAGACTGTAAACCGAGAAACTACTGTTGACAGAGACCGAAGGTCGAGGTCAACAGTAGTTTCAAGGTTTACAGTCGAGGTATATGATTTTGCCGGTTGACCGAATGGAGAGGTCTACAATTGTTTTGTTAGTCAGAAGAAACTAATAATACACATATAGACGACAGTCATCAATCATGGCTTCATTCCACAATCTTTTCTTCGAACCACGCCAGCAATAATTTTTTAAGAAAATCTGAAGACAGTGGTAGCTAGACTCTCTGTTTTCGGCACATAACTGCGAATTCACTACGAAAATTTAATGTTAATTTTGCGTTTGTATTTGTATTTTTGCTCTCGTCGTCTAGCAAAGTCAAAATATCACTTTCATCAACGTTTACAAAATATCTGTCTACACTTTTTTCTGTAAACATTGTGACGTCATATTCCCCATAATTCAAAAGTGTAGTACAGTAACATACGCGGTCAATAATATGATATCCCATGATGCACAGGTGAGGTACAGGCAAAAATGTTGACCGCTAATTGACCAATCAGATGCAAGTATTTACACTGAGGTACTAACAATACATGTACAGTAAAACCTGTATATCTGAACACCTGGCTAATCCGAACACCTTCCAATCTGAACACTTTTTTTCGGTCCCATTTTTTCCTCCCATTGACTCCCATGTTAAAAAACCCTTGAAATCTGAACACCTCCTAATCTGAACAGTGAACAATCAAATTTGAAAAACTGACCTGTCTAATCTGAACATTTTGTCAGAAATCAAATGTCTGAACATTTCAATAATAGCCACATATTGAGTCAATGTTATAGGTCTTATTATCTTTATATATGCAATGTAATCAAAGAACCAATATTGTCCTAATCAACTTATTCAAGTCTCAATGACATCCCTAATTGTGGAAAACAACAGGAAAGGTGTGAATACGGGAGTTAATTGGTTTATCCTATTAGAAAAGAACTGAATGTTTTATGTTTGGATTAAGAGAAAGGTGTGAATCAAGAAGATAATTGGTTTATCCTTATTTTAAATTAACTGGATTTTTTTATTTGGATTATGAACAAGTCTTAACTGTTTTATATCCCATGTGTCTGTTATGATAGCTGGGATTCAATCAGTAGACAGAGACAACACAGACACATTTGCAGACAAGATTATAATTGTTTTATCATTATTAGAAATTACCTGGATGTTTTTGATTTGGATTAAGAGAAAGGTGAGAATCTGGGAGATAATTGGTTTATCCTTATTTTAAATTAACTGGATGTTTTTGATTTGGATTATGAACAAGTCTTAACTGTTTTATATCCCATGGGTCTGTTATGATAGCTAGGATTCAATCAGTAAATGTTTTATAATCACAGAGACAACACAGACACATTTGCAGACAAGATTATTATTGTTTTATCATAATTAGAAATTACCTGGATGTTTTTGAATTGGATTAAGAGAAAGGTGAGAATCTGTGAGATATTGACTTGATATTTTGAAAGATTATATATCATCTCGAATGAGCACTCATGAAAAATTCTTTTTAATTGAAGAAGGTATCTACTCAAATATTGCTAATGCTGAAAGTGCCAAGAAACAAACAACAATGAACGACTTTTTCAAGCTAAAGTAAAGCAGTGCTATGTAACCATTATATGAGATAAGTCATTTAATAAGCATAAGATTTCGTACAAGACTATCATATACTTATTCAGTGTATTACAAAGTTTTTGCCAAAATTAAAGAGTTATTTTTCCCAAAATAATGAAATTGTTCAAAATGTAAATAAAACATAGCATACATGTAGGCTATAGGCCTATTGTAGAATAAACTCATCAACAACATGTATTGTTTTCTGACTAAGTATTAAGTGTTCAATATAGTGGACTGAACAATGAAAATCCCCCCCCCCCACCAACAATATCCTCGAAATTTGAACACCTGCCAATTTGAACGCTTTTGGCTGGTCCCATAGGTGTTCGGATTAGACAGGTTTTACTGTAGTTCACTTGCGATAGTCTGAAATTCCTTTTACTATCATATACAGTTTCTATATGTTCTCATATTATATTAAAATCTCTACGTTTGCCTTAATGTAGCCAAAAAGGGATCAAATATTTTCCTGTTTGTTGAGTGTGACAGGTTCGAGTTGCATCCTCTTAGAGTCTATATATCTAGGTGTAGGGGTGGGTTTCTGTCTTCCCCTAGGAGTAAACTGTCTACTTTTGAGAAGAGCTCTTGTCTTTGCAGTTCAAAGAGCATTCCCATGTTAAAAAGAAGAGAATTTTTAAGTGACCATACATTAGTACTTGAGAGTATACAAAATGTAAACTACATAAAACTTAAGGGATGTGTATCTAGACATTATTGTAAAGTATGAAGTCTCAAATCATCATGTTCTGGGAATGGTGATTGAAAATCAAGATGCCATTTATTTATGGTGAGCACTGTTCACCTGTTACCCCCGTGAATGTAAGGTTGATTTGCGATTTTTCTTATTTTGGACATTTTTAGACAAATCAACCATATCAAAAATATGAAAAAAATGCAAATCAGGTTCACATTTATTGGGTTAGATATCCGATTACTAAAAGTCAGTGGGATGAACCATTGAACTCCATGACATCTATCATCATGAAAAATTTATAATATTTTTGCCACTTAAAATTGAAATGTTTGAGAGGGAGGTTTTTCTTTTTCTCAGAGCTTCCTTACCTTAGTCTGGAAAATCCTTGCACCTTGGTTTTAGGGGCCTAAGACTTAAAATGTGCCCCCCCCCCTTGTAAGCTTCTAGATCCACCAGTTATGTCATTTTCTTCAAAATTAGACTGCTTTTGCCTTGCTAAATCATATAATTTGATAAAAATTATATGATTTAGCAAGGCAAAAGCAGTCTTATTTTGAAGAAACTGACAATTTGACTTTTACTGACCTAGTTATTCTGGCTGATACTAAAATACACAGTGCCCCCTGCCCTAGGAGGGGTACCTGGATTGGTACCCCTGGATTTATACAGTTATTGCAACCTGCAAACAGTGAAAGACAATCTGGTTTCAAAAAACTAAAATCATTTTTTGCCAAAAAAGATTGCAAAGATATTTTTCATATGCCATGTGACATTTTAAGATACCCCCCTAAATTTTGCTTAAAAAATTTGAACACACCTTCTCCAGCAATTATGTAAACCCCCACATTTTTGACCAAAATTAAGCAAACTCTGAAAAAGGATGTGTCTGGGTATATGCCCTTTTGGTCCCTCAGTCAAATGTATGTAAAATATGGTTTTTATTACTGTCCTAGTTATATTTAATAAGTATATTTACTTTTTCACGAATTTTGATGCATAATTAACCCCTGCTGAGAGTCAGAATAAGTATCTTAACAAACAAAAAAATAGTCATTATCATAGAAAAAAACACCAATGGCAACATGTATGACATACAAAGAAGAAATAACTTAAGACCGATGAAGAATTAAAAAGAAAATCATATTTTTGAAATATATTTGAGGATTAAAATGTTTTTCAAATTTTTGAATTTCCCGCCAGTTTAATTTGAAGGGGGAAAAACAAAATGGTTGCCATTTGTTGTAAGAAATATCAGGAAAAAAGTTGCTTCACTTTTAGTTTTCACAATGAGCACAGTTTTCCGGTTTAGGTTTTTTGACTGATTCTGACTCTTCATCACCAGGGTCATGTATAGAGATTATAAAATTGAAACCAAAATGTTGTGCTCAGCATGAATTTGACTGAAATATGGGTAACATCACCAACACAATTGAAGTCTCAAAACTGGATGCTCAGTAACTTTGAGTGACTATAATCCCTTGATCACCCAGATAAACACCAATTCACTTATCCAGAAATACCATTCAATGTCTATTCAAAGAAAGTAACCAATGTTTTGGAAGATATGTTTCAAACTTTTTGCATAAATAATTCACTTAATATTTGCCATTGATTTTTTTTCAATTCTGACAAAGTGATATGCACTGTCTTTGATGCCAATATTCTTCATCAATTGTGATACAAATTGATATTTTTGTAATCTCAGAAGAAGGATAAGATATTGAAGTTTAATAATATGCGGGATTGACTTGGTTTTTCAGACATTACAATTTTCAATATTTTCTAAGTCGATACCCAGACTCATTCCCAGACTCATCCTTTCAGCAAATTTGGCAAAATATATGCAAAAATATGCCGAAAACACCATTTGTTTATTACTAGAAGCTAGAAACCAGAACTATTATTTAAAGAGCCAGAATTTCCAGAACAAATCCAAATTCAACAAACATCACAAACTGCAGCTCATTTTAATAATAAAATATTGAAAATAGATCTTAATTTGTATTTTCCAGAATTGACACACATTCAGTCCTATGATGCACTTGTACAGACACAATCAATCTACATTGTGCAATAATCTACCAAAAACAATGGATAGCTAGGCAGTTGTTTACAGAATGATATGAATATCCCAATTACCATAAGAGGATTAATTAAGAACAGTCTAGAATCCATCCTAAGCTGCATCTCCACCTGAGAGTGAAACAACTGGAGACATTTTTGGATTCCATTTGTTTAATACAAGAGGATGTATATAAGGAGCAAGAATACTCTAGACTAAATAGGAAAGTATTTGTATAGTGTAGAACATTAAAAAAATGTATGACAAAACAGTGCAATATATTGACAAGGAATATCAGTTTTTCTGAGGTTCTGAGCAGAAAGTTGGACAATTATGTAAATCCGATAATTTGGATTGAGTCGCCATCATAAAACGTCAAGGCTACAATTTTGTACCGATTTACATGTACATGTATGTTTGGTGTATCATTCAAGACTATTTATTATATGGAAAGACTCTAGTTGTCAAAAAGTTGCTAATTATTGACCCCCAGAAGGCTAATTATTGACCCTCAAAAGGCAAGACTGTTGACGATAGTTACCATGGAGATAATCAACTACCAGAGATGTTATTAATCAAGTTAAGGCACAACACCTGATCACATATTTGGAATATGAAGAGCCAATATGCCTACACAAGATGTATGGATATTTGAAACTAATATCATTAACTCATATTTATTTTATATGTTGTAAATAATGATAATCCTTTAATGTTATTTTTTGAATGTTAATTAATTAATGAACTTAATTATTATGATAGAATTATTTTTGACTCAGCTTGTGTTTTAACTCCTAATCTTATGACATGTCTTATATTCGAAATTTTATTTAATGAAAGCTGAGACTTGTATTTTTATGTGTAAGGTTTCAATAATTCGACATTTTCATACAAAAATTATTGATCATGTGAAATCTTGTGCATATGAAACTGTTCGGCAATATAAAGAGTTTGTATATTTTAAATATATCTCTGTATATAATATATATTTATTAGAGAGCCATGTATAAGCATTTAGTGCTCAGAAATTGTTAATAGAGTAAGATATGTATGTATAAATGTAGTAACTGTGGAAGTACATGTATACTTCATGTACTTAAAGTTTCTGTTGACTTTTTTGTTAATGGTCCTGGTCAATCTATCAATGTTTAACAAATGAAGTGTTTAGTCATCTGTCGAGGCTTGTTATTTATTTGTATGAGAGTGGGGCTCATAAGTGGGCTTTCATTTAACTCATTGCTGACTTTCCCCGAGATATTTCGTCTATGACGTCATAATCGTATCTGACCAACCCCGAGATATCTCTGGATGCTCTCCAATAATTGTCACATGATTTGTACCAAATAATCTTACCAAATATTGTTTGGGTTGTTAGGGAATGATGGTTGGGTCGGGTGCAATTGAAATATATTGTCATTGACTTCAAAATGGCATAAAACATAGCACAGAGGGTGCTGATATAGTCCATGTTATGCTGATATGAAAACATGCAATTTTGCTTAATTTTTCATCAAAATGGCCGGTCAACAGCTGAAAATCTCCAAAATAGCTTTAGCCAGCAATGAGTTAATGTATGCCACTGATCAGGGGATAACTTGGCATAACTCAACTGTCTCACCAGAATTTTACAATTCTAAACATATTTAATCAGACAGTTTTTCCAAATTTTGAAAGTATCAAACAATTATTTGCTATGGCCCCTCCCCATCAATTCTTTTCAGTCATCAGATTCAATTTTTCTTATTTTGATGAACATAGATATTTTTACTTAACTTATACATTCAGGACCATTGTCAAAAACATAAAGAGGCTATAATTGTAAATAAGAATGAAGACACAGGGAATTTATGGACTTGTCTGTTATAGTATTGTCCCAGATTCTTTAGATGTACTCATTGTACTTTAGATAATGTTTCTGTTATTTATGAAATGTTGAAGAATCTCGTTATCTATCAAACATACAGGGTGTCCAGGAAGTAAAGATACGTATACTCTAATTTTGAGAAATTTCCTACAACTATCAATACATATAGTTTAGTTATCGTTGTTATGGTAACCAAAGTTGAGTGTATGTGGAGCAATCCCAAAGTTGTGTCCTCGGTCTGTATCTTTATTTCTTCCTTTATACCCTGTACTTATTTGTATTTAAATCTTGAAAATCGAGAATATTATTCTGAAAAACTAAATAGAAAGTGGTTTCCTGAATTAAGTGCTATTATATAGCATACAGTGCTTGATCAAACTACTGTTTGACTGATACTCATGGAGTCATACCTTTTAAAGGTTCTATTTCTGTTTTGTATGTAATCTTTTTATTTTATATTCTAGTCAACAATTGAAAAATATAAATGGTGGTATAATCATGTTAAATAAATATTTATGTTTTTGCTATTACTGAGAAACTGAAAATGGTGCAGGTACATTGTATTATATAAAGTACATTTACTTGACAATGTGTATAGTGAAACTTGTCTTAATGAACACCTTTCTCTAGTTAACACCTGTGTCTAGTGAACACCCCTTCTGAGCCTTCTCAATACATTCTCCACTTACTTCTGTACAAAATCACCTCTCTGTAGTGAATACCTACTTACAATGAACACCATTTTGTGGCTCCATAGGTGTTCACTGTACACAGGTTTTACTGTTTATAAATTTAAGATAGTACCTAGTATTTAAGGTATTACCTGTAGTTGGAAAATCCTTCATTAAATTACTTAATTCTTCTACTCACCTAATAGAAAATAATGTGGGTAGGTAAAGTGTGAACTCGGCCATATTTAATTGTATTATTATCTCAAGGTTGTAAAAATTCAGAATATCAGAACCATCAGTCCTGGTGCTTTTAATTTGCTTAATGTTATAATATAGACTTTGCTTAATATAAAGATTAAAATCTAGTGCAGAATATGTGGGATGATAAATAACATCTTAAGGAACCATTAGAATTTTTTCTTTAAGGTGGGTGAAGTAGGTTGAGTCTATTAGGACCTGTTTGGTCATGATTTCATGTTAAATATTAGATAATAATCCAATAGGCCTGTTTTTATGATGCTCTGCCTACATTAACATACCTCTGTTTGATAATGGCCCATAGAACTCCATGGGTAGATTGTTATGATGTTCATCAGCTAGCAAGAAAAAGGAATTTTCAGGAAATTTGGCAGATGAATCATGAGATCACACACTTGAAAAAATGAAGAGAATCAAGGCACAGCAGCCACAGTTAATCAGGAAAATAAATATCAACCAAAAAATATTGAGAGGCTCTGTGTTAGATAGTCTGATCAAGGTTATTAAAGTCAGAACAGATCAACTTACATGCAGTCTTTAATTGGTGCTCTTGCAAAGTATTTTACACAGGATGTGATTTTGCTCGATGTTTCTAAAATACTTCTTGTTTTGTCAGAATTGTCTCTTGTTTTGCAAAAATGACCTCTTGTTCTGACTCTTGGTTTATGATATACTTCTTGGATGTCCAAGATTCTCTTAACTAGATGGTAGATACAGTAGATTCTATTGACACACTTATTGTATGTTTTCATATAAACTTAATGTGAACACCAAAAATATAAATAAAAAATACAAATAATTACGGTGCCAATAAGTAACAAGACATGTATAGGGAAAAGTTCTAAACTTCAATATTCATAAGATTTATTATTCAATTTTCATATAACTAATTTTCAATTTTCATATAACCTTTTTGAATTTGATAATTATACTCATAAAAATGTGTCCAGTAAAAGAAAATATAATCTTTGATAGATCAATATTTCAATTTTCATGATTTTATAACATGGGCTCTATATGGAATCTACCTCACATTTTCAAAGAAAACTAAAATTTCAAGGTTGATAAACAATTTTTATAACCACATTTCTATGTAATTTTGAAAGTAGATTTCAAACGTGATTATATTCCCTTTGACAAAATTGAATGCATTTAATGGTGAAAATTAAGATCAACTTGCACCTAGTATTGGATAAATACTTTATGACTTCATATACATTGATTTCTTGTAAGAGCTATAGGTTCACTTATCTCAACTTACTTACCTCTTAGTTACCAATATACAGGATGCTCACTAGGTCCTAAATGTCTGCTATATTCATTTTAAATTCATCATGAATAACTGGTAATATATTCGGGCGGTTCTGTCTGCGACCAATTTATGTTGTTAGAATAAATGAAATCATTGATTCTACCACTATTATGGACTTCTCAGAAGTTCAGTACTTCTAAGAACTCATAACCTCATACTCAAAACATTTCTGAAGTATCAATTATTCGATTTAAACAATCATATCGTGACTTTAAGAATATTGAGAGTAGATATGAGGAAACTTGTATACAAGTTTAATTTCTGCGAATTGACAGATTTTTTTTGTCAGTAGTCACCACAAAGTGAGTCATGTAGAGAATTCAAATAATATTGTATGACCCTTCAATATTGTTTTTATGCAAAAAATAAATCTTTCTTCCCATTCAGTTTAAAAGATGTTCTTACGTTATTTCTCAATATGACATTTTCAGTTAAGGGTCACATTTTACAACAAAAGATTTTTTTTTACGGGGGGGGGGGGGGGGTGTATCTTGAGCTTTGATTTCTATTAATTCTCTTGTTTTTTGTTCAGTACATCCTGCTTCCCTATATCTTTAACAGTCTTCGAGCTTTACTTGTATATTGTCATTACAAAAAAACTTCAACTAGACTGTTCAACAACAAAATCAAAACTTAATGTGTCATTCTAGGGGGAGGGGTGTACAGAGAGGCATCCTGGTTCCCTGTTGTTAGGAGCTTGATAATACAAAGGTTGCTTACAATGGGTTGATACACCATATAATGTGATATTTTTTATTGAAACCAACATGTTAACCATTGTTCCAACATTTGTTTTAGATCACCCCATCTCTCTTGGTCACTCATCCTCTAGGGCTGAATGAACATTACACCATGTTGGGGA